GTACGCGCGCACTCGGCATTATTTCATCGACGGGACGAACTTTCCATCGTTTCCGCGCGGTCGACGGGGAAAAAACGGGGGCGGGGGGGAAACGCCGACAAAGCGAGCCTCGCCGGCGCGCTTTGACATTAATTAGCCACTCGTTAAATAAATTTGAAACTCGTCGGGGACGAGTCGGGACGATCGACTGCTAAAGATGACCGCCGGGGAAAGGGTGGCCGTCGAGCAAAGGGACTCGTGAGCAAAGGGAAGCGCGTCGCGCGCGCCCTGCCACAGGTTGACGAGGGTTTATTGGCTTTATCGAGGAATCGGGTCGTCCCCGGAGGAACAAGGGTTGCGAGGAAAAAACGAGGTACAAGGGTTCGCAGAGAAAAGGAGGAAAAAGCCCGGGAGAGGATGGACAATCGACAAGCGAGAGCTCGTCGCGCATCGGCGGGCCGCGCGCGTTCCGCCAACCCTTCCGAGGCACGGTTACAAACGACCCGAACGTTGAATTCGGAAGAAGCCGTGCTCGACGGCGAGGAGATTTTTAAAGGATATTCCGCGCGGATCGGCTTAAACAGCAAAACGACACCGCGGCTCTCAGAAAGCGAATCTCCTCCCCTAACCGGCCGCGAACCATTTCTTTCCGTTGTTCGCGATAAATCACGACGCGTATCTGCCGGGAGCCCCGATTTATGGATTTCCAGTGGCTCGTCCTTAGGCGGAATAAATTCCCGCTGCGATCGCGATCCCGATAAACTGGCTGTAACCCCGCGTGAAATCGGAAAGAAATAGTGGAGCGGCTGACAGCGGCAGCGGCACGCGTTCCTCGGCGAAAAAACCGGGGGATCTCGCGTCGATCGGGGATCGTGGCACGGCAAAAGGAACACGGGGCGAAGGTCGACGACCCAGTTTAAGGGGGTCGGGAGACGAAATTCCAGGGCGTAGATCCGACAGGAATCGGTGTCGCGACGCGAATCGAGCATCCAGTTTATCGCAGCTGGGTCCCATTGCGGCTGTGTGTCCTCTCTCTCTCCTCCTCTTCCTCTCCTATTTCTCTCTCCACATCTCCCTCGCCATCCCTTCCAATCACCGACGAACCCTTTTGCATCCAGCCTTGCGGCGCTTCACCGAAATACTCCCGGTGAATGCAAAGCTTTCGCAGGGCACTCGCTTCGCCTCGCCTCGCCACGTCCCGCTCGCTGTACCGATCGTAAATCTCGTCGCTCGAGACACTTCATCCCGCTCCCTCGTCGATCCATTCAATTCCCGACTCCACCTGTGCAACCTGTGATTCCAGCACGAACTATTTGCCACGAGAAAGTCAGATATTACGACGAGGAGCGACCGGAATCGCGGTCTTCCTCCCGCGGAACCGCGAATCGTTTCACACCGATTCTTTCTCTCGCTCGTGGAAAGTGGTCGCTGACGCGGATAAGAGCGCGAACGTTCGAGATCGCGAATCGCTGGATCGTTTAGAGTCTCGATTGTCCACACGCCGAAAAGAATCTCCACCGAATTTCACGTCTCGAGACCGACCGCGAGCCTCATTCGCTGAACCTTCGACCTCCTGATTTCGATTCGTTCCACATTTGAAGCGCGCGTCGCGTCGCGTCGCGTCGCCGGCCATCGACTCGTTGCGGAAGAATTCATCGGTCGTTGCGCGGAGTGTTGGCCATGCAATCTCGAATTCCTTTCGCGGTCCGGCCAGTTGGCGCGTAATTGAGAGATAAACGGGCGCAACAGAGCTTCGTGACGGGAGAAATATGTGACACCCGGGCGTGGCGGCTGCGAGTCGCGCGTACCTACCACCGTTATCATCGGTGCGCATCGGCGGAATATTTGAAACGCGAATCTCCGCGTTCCTCCGGAAATATGGACGCGCCCGGGGAAAACGCCGGTGACGATGCTCCGCCGGCGGAGAGACGCGAGTGCGTTCGATGAAGAGTACGATGGTAATTCGGCCAGGCGGACGGAGGCTGACGCTCGACGGTGACGCGACGTCCGTTCCTGAATAACGCGTGTGAAAAAATGGAATATTTTAAAGCGGAACGAGGAACGGCACTGCGATCGGAGGAGCGACCGCGAAGAACGCGCGGAACGAAGACGAGAATAGTAATAAATTTGTCGATGGAAGTCCTTCGATACGGAAGAGATAACAAACGTTCAGCCGGCGATAACGCGGCGGAAACAGATGCAACGGGAGTAACAGAACCGGGA